ATTTCAATACTGTTAATTATAAGAGTAAAGGTAATTAGCAAATTCCCCCTTCGTAAAAGGCTGTCCATTAATTACGTGATTAATTTTTAAGGATTTTTGGACTCTCCTGTCCCTTGGTGATCGGCGGTAATTTTCAAAAATTATCCCCTCTCTTGTATGTTTCTAGTACGCAGAAAATATCGTAAAATTCTTGAAAACTTATTGAAAAGTTTGACTTTTTTTCAAATTCTGTTAAAAAACAAATACATGTGATATCTTACTAAAACCCTCTCCTCCTTGTTATATTTTGTGATTCTTTGTCAAAGCCCTCCCGCCCTTTCAACCCTTATGTGATTATTGGGCAAATCAAAAATCACAAATCAGTATTAAGAAAATGTAATACTTTTGTTCATCGTGATTTTAAATTTGTAAAAAATCACTTAATGTCCTTTAGTCATTTTGTTAAATTCAGAAATTTTTGTTAAATTTCTGAAATCGGTTCAGGCGTTTTTGAGCAAACGTCGATGAAAGGTCTAATTTCGACAAATGCGAAAAAACGATACTAATTTTTGCAAACTTTGAAGAATTTTAAAAATTAAACGACTTGTCGTAGGGCCGTAATATTTTAGTACGATCTTTAAGACTATGGTATCTACCGTCAAAAATCATCGAAATTTTTTTTAACACTTTATTACAAGAAAACGGCCCGGCCAATCTTTACCAAAAACTAATCAGCACGATTCCCAACCAATATCTTTCGAACTGCTTTTGAATTTTCAAAATCGATTCAGAATTGCGGTCTAAAGCGTGGACGAAAAATTTTTCACTTTCCTGCGATTTGCAAGGAAACGGCTTGGCTGATCGTCGCGCAAAATTGATAAACACTAGTTCTAATCGAGATACATCAAATGGTTTTTAAATTTTTGAAATCGGGAAATCTACTACGGGAAGTTAATAAATTTTTCCTGTGTTATGGAACATTAGGAAATGAAATAAAGTTGTTTCAATTTGTACAGTAAATTTAGAGATGTTGAATTCTGTGATATCAATGACGTAGAATTGTTTGAAGAATCAATTTCTTTGAAAACCATCATGAAATAAATAGAGCAACTAAGAAATAAGTAAATATTTTTACTAGGCATATATTATGTGAACTGTACACATAAGAGTAATAATAACACGGAATCCAGCACCTGCAGTATATTGAAAATTGAAGAAATAATTCTAATTCTGTTTTTTTTTTTCAAATTTCTAACATAATTTGATAAATTTATTAAATTAATAGCCGAGTGGAGGAATTCTTGCAGTACAAATCAATTAAGATTCGTTGGCCAATGTTTTTGTTTACAATATGAGATAATAGTGAGATTTATACCTGAAAACTGTGATGTTGGTAGCAAACGGGTCTAACTGGCGGTGAGGTGGTATTATTTTGAACGTCCGCGTTTCCATCGTTCAAACAAAGTTCGCTTATATCTTCGGGAACTGCTGTGTAAGGCGACATGCATCGGGTGAGTTGCGTCACTAAAAATGCCTCTAATGAACACAAGTAACCTACCATCTAGAATAAAAAAGATAGATATATAACTAATAATAGATAGACAATAATAAAAGATAGATAGATAACTTTAAATAAGGAAAAACATGATCACGGCCGCCGACGGCTTTGCGCTTCATTGGGCCTCGCAAGAAGCCCCGAATTTTTTTTTATTATTTAAAGTTTAGTTTTTATTTTTATTTAGTTTTTTTTTATTATGCTGATGTACGAGTAAAGAAGATGATTAGTGGTTTGCAAGCACTTTCGTTTTACTCTCTTATCTCTTATGGAATGTAATATCGTCTGTCATTACTATAATATTAAATCTAAAGAACTTCACACAAGATGGCTAATTTTCTGGTTGTTTATATTTGTGTGTTTCTTATGTGAACATAAATCATAATTCCATTTAGGAATACAAACGTGTAGTTATATTATCGAATCCAAACAGTAACTAAATATTCGAGAAATAAAATTAATCAATGATCCATCAAATTGATCAATGAGAAATGACAATGGTTTACATTTTTTTTAAATAAATATTATAAATACTGTTAACTTGAAACTAATCATTGTTTTACACCGTCGATATATTTTTTAAACATCCTAATCGGATGATGAGTTCTTTCAAAAACTGCATCACCAAATTGATTGATAACCTTTTAATTGTTATTGCATCTCCGAAACCGCTGGACCTGCTTTTGCCAATTTATCAACACGAATCGAATGTTCTTTTAATCATTTAAATCGGTTGATCCAAAGATTCAAATAATCCGACATTTCGACATTTCTGAACCGATTTTGAACATTCAAAAACTCTTAAGTTGTCAGTTGGCTATAAGTTTTTCGTAAAAATCGACCGCGTCGTTTCTTCGTAATTAATTGTAGAATTTAAAAAAAGAACTCTGTCTAAAGATGTAAATTAGCTAATCGAATGATTTGGCAAAAAAGAAACTTCTTCGGGATAATTATTTAATTTCAGTGTTTTACTAATATCTGAAGATCGAACTTTTTTTTACCGAAGAGTTTGTTTATTTTAACTTGTGCATTTTTTGTCTATTTCAATTTGTGTAATTATCTGATTAAAAATATATCTCAAACTTTTGTTTAACAATAATTATTTTTTAACTTTTTAACAAAACTGATTAAATTGTTAGAAAGGCAGGTCAAGCGGTTTTGGAGATCCATTAAAAAAAGGAAAAAAAAAGCCATTTGGCGGACAAAAATGATTATTAGTCATACGCGCATCGAATTTTCAGATATTTTATAAAGATCAGATTTTATAAAGATTAAGATAAAGATTTTAGTAATAAGTACAAATTTTGTTTAGATTTCTATGCGTTCCGTACCAATGTATAAGCGTTAGACCGCAGCGCGGCGCTTACGCGCTTCGATATTTCACTCAAGGACGTAACGAAGCGTGATTGCTTTGAAACATTTCGAAATTTTCAAAAAAATTCAAAATATAAATAAATACTGAAATAAAAAAAGATGACCAAAGAAGAGAATCAATTTAAAATTAAGTTAAAAGAATATTATAAAATAATGTCTAATAATAAATTAGACTACAGCATGAACTCAATATTTAAATAAATTGAAAAATTTAAGCTTTTCTCACCGCTGTTGCAAATATATGATGCTTAGAATGCTTAGGCACCCATGCAAAGTCTGTCGCAAAAAATACTGTATGAACTAGAAATGACGATCCGATAATAAACAAAATTCCTATAGACAGATAAAGCCAGGTATTCTGAAAACAAACAATAATTCTATAAACATATACATATTTAAACATACAAGCCAATAAATTTTATACTTACAATTTTATTCCAATTAAATGGGAAGAGTATTATGATATGCGTGATGTCAAGAAAAAGTATGAATCCTGTAACCAACATCGAAAATAATGTTATAAACATCATGAGACGTATTCTTCCCAGCAATGGCAGTAGGAACAAACCGACCTGAACGGTTCCTGATGAACATAAAGTCACCAGACATGATAGGGACGTTATCTGCATATAACGTAAACAAAACAATCATCAAAATATCACATGAATAAAAAGCTTTAAGCGATAATTCACACACACATTCATTGACTTACAAATAATAATATTTTGAATATAACCGCTGGACTTTTGAATTTCCTCTTATCGCAATAAATAGGAACACCGTGCAATGGCGACAAAATACGGGGTGGCGCACACTGCCTGTAGTGTGCATGGGAATCCCATGAGTGAACGGAAATGGGGGCCCCCAATGGGGACTCCAATAAGGACAACTCGACGCTCACCGCGTCTGTTCTGCTACCGGCTATCTCAAAATCCTGCAAATAAATAAGAAACGAATAAATAAAAGTATAATAATAAAATAGTATTTGTTAGCGATTTGAGTCTGTGTTTTATAAGAATTTACATTCGTGAACTGAATAAACGGTTCCAAACTGATCAGCCTTTCTCAGCGAATTTATCAAGAGCTCTTGCATAATATTGTAAAATAAAATAAGTATTATATGAATTTACTACTTACTTGGAAGTCCTCAGGTTTGCACTTAGCTGGTTCTACCAGATCTCTTATATCGTCCAAAAGAAATTCTATTTCATCTGCCCCACACAGATCCGATACGGAAACATAACCGACTGATACGCTAGATCTTCGAAATTCCTCAAATGTTCTTGGATTTGAAGCAAGAGAGGACTGGCCAAAATTACTGGTCAAAATGCTTGAGTATCCAATGCTGTTTGGATTATTATAGCACGCTACGTTAGATGAAGAAGTTTCCTGTGCTATTGATGATCTTCCAGGGTTGGATGATGTGTCCAAATTGCTAGAATATGTAAATTTACTGCTTTCGGATGGATTATTGGATTGCTGCGATGTAGACGTTTTAATATTAGCGTTTTTAATTTGTTGAGTTGAATTCAGAGCCCATTGACAATCAAATTTATCTGACGAATCATTGAAACCGGAGCTATATCTAGATATATCATTAGTATTATTCTTAGGAACCGGATCGAACAATTCGAGGGCATCTGGATGATCTTTATCGGCGCTGGCGCAGGCTCCGTTACTTAACACATAAACTGCAGAATTTCCTGGTGCTATGTTATTTTCGGTAGAATTGTTTGGGTTGACGGAAGTGTTTACAGTAGGCGTTACTGGAGTAGTGGGCGTACTATTTTTGTTTTGTTCTGCGTTTGATATTGGTCTGATGTTTTTGTTTATACTGGTGCGAGGAGGTTTCTGCATGGCACGGATGGACAAAAGGTTTTAATCCATCGTCTGATACCGATATCGTTATGACATCTTGCAATTAAGCACGCTTTCTGTAATGATTAATTCAGATGAGGACAAGAGTAATATGGTACATAATTAATTTAAAAATTAATTATACTAAATTAAATATATTGAATTAAATTGTATAAACTGAAATTATTTTCAAATCACATTTGTAGTAATAACATTGTGTCTTCAATTTTCCAATAATTTGTACGTGTAAATAGTTATTAATTTTATCAATTATCGTTATCTCACGTTTGCAACTATTTACAGGCCCTTAATTTTTGTGTAATATATGTAATTCAAATGATTTCTGTCTATATTGTTAATAAATAACACATTACAAATTAAATTTTTAACAAATTTCTACCCCCGTGACTATAAGATGTAGATTCTAACAAGAATCCAGGGCAAAAGTAGGTTATGTTGACATGTAAAGTGGAAAGAGCAAATAACCAATCAATGAAGCAAAATTGCTATATATTTTTTCTAATAACAAAAATAATAAAAATCATGTTATTTAAACACTCAGTACTATTAGTTAATTTACGAAGATATTTTATTAAGATTTTGCTCTAGAAATCACTTGGGGGTTGTAATATATGGTACTGCGGTAAAATTTACACCAGTTGCGGTTCAATTTAGATATTTCAGCTATAACTATTCACTTATTGAACGCACCGTTTTGTAGCACAAGACAAATAACATTGGATTATGAGTAAAATTGATGGCAAATACTTTCACTAAAAATTACACAAATTATCACATTTAATAAAACATTTATGCCAATGGCAGCCATGTTAATTATGTGACAGCTTACACTCTCAACTCACGCTACCCTAAAATGTCACGACAGGGTTGTAGCAACGGGGGTCTTGTATAATACACGGTTCGTCGTCGCGTTTACGCGGTCATATGAATAGTAGCGCAAACGTGCGCCATTCATTCACTTAATTCGTTGATTTTTTTAATTAAATTATCTAAAACGATTTTTATACATTCTTAAATTTGAAAATAATTTATCATTTTATAATTTCCTGAAGGAAATGTGCGAAAATTTGTTGCTACCGTTATTGTGTTGTCTGTCTGCCCGTTGGTTGCATGCAATCGCTTTTATAATATTTAAAATGAGATAGTGATTTAAATCAGATTTATTGTTTAAAATAAATCATAAAACCAACGCAATTGAAAATTTTGTTATAAGTAGTCATATTGTTACACGTGCATTGGAAGTCTTATTTAGGCTTATTCAAAGGACGCCTTAAAAGGGGATATTCTAGTGTAGAAATTCAAAAAATAGTTTTTTCTGTTTTTTTTTTCATATTTTCAAAACTTATGTATTTAGGAATATGTGTACGAGGGGTTTTAAACAGTTTAAATTATTTTCAGAGATACAGCTATTTGACCATGATAATCTACGCCGATTAGACTCCTCTCAGGCATATACTAGTAGGGTGGTCCTTAAAATGGTCATTTCGAATTTCCTTGCTCCCAGGGGCTCAAATGGTTCCAAATAGATAAAAAACAATCCTCTGTAAGTTTTACCTCTTAATATTAACGTTTAGATAGAGCGCAACTCAATCAAAGTTTTGCTAGCCCCATCTCCAAATTTTAATTCTACTATTTTTAAAAAAATCGAGAAACTCAAAAAAAAGTGGTAAGAAATTGATCCTTTTTTGCAAACAGTTCCCATTTTGTCAAAAATTTATTTTTTAACTTAATTCTAGTATATACCTTAGGGAGCATCCATTAATCACGTGACGTTTTTAGGTGGGGGGGGCATTTGACAAAAAATCACGGAATATCACGTAGGAAAGGGAGGGGTATAGTAAGATATCACGTGTTTTTATTTTTTATCTGATTTTTTTTTTAAAAATCCAAACATTTTAAAAAGAAATAAAAAATTTCAACACGTTTTCCCGGAACTAAAATTACACGTGAGGTTTGGTTGGTAGAGGCGGGGAGGTAATTTTGAATATCACCAAGGGGAAGGAGGGAGTCAAAAAATCCTTAAAAAGTCGGTCACGTAATTAATAGACGCCCACTTAGCGACATCATTCTAGATTAATAATCTTTTTTTATTTCGGATTACTAGAAGGGTTGCAATCGTGATCACGTGTCAACTTTTTGAGACTCCCCCCACTTCAACCGCTGCTGATTTTTTAAATTATTAACTTTTTTGTTTTAATTTTTTTCTGTGCTCTTGTAACGTTGATAAAGAAATTTTAAAAAAGTGATAAAATAACTTAAAATTCATTACTCTACACTACTAGAGCACCCCTTTAATAATCTTTTTAATGCTTTTTAGCTGTAAACTTTATTTGAGCACAATCATTGTTTCTATATCGTAGAATTTACATAAAAACATAATAAGTTAATATAGTAATATTCTAGTAAATATTGAAGTTATTTCGAGCAAAATCTAGGTCTTTTGACAAATCAGGGAAACAACATCATTTTAAAATCTGTTAAGTAGTATAATTTTGAAGAACAAACATTTTATTAGAAATTATTAATGATTAAGATTTGAAGTATTTATTTAAATAAATTTTGAACTAAAACGATGATATAATTTACTCTCACTTAAATAGAAACTTTCAAATAAATTCATTCATATATTCATGCCGAAGTTTTTTAAATTATTTAATTGATAAATTACTGTTTATCAAATAAAATTGATGTAATTCAGTCAAAAAACTATCTGCATTAATATAATATATATTATGATTTTATTTTTCAAATCCCAAAAGCGTCCGTTAATTTGAAAAAAAAATTCATTTTGTATAATTACATGGGTGGAATGGGGTTCGTTAATTGTTTAATATTCCTTCAATCTAAAGCTCAAAGTATTACCAATTAAATATATACTTTAAATTTTACCTAAAATATAAATAATTATAACTTTATTAATTTAAATTTTTCAAAGTTCTTGAAAAAGGAGAAATTCCCGAAATACGAAATAATCTTAAATATTTTTTTTTGAAACGTGTGATGGTGACTTCACTTCAAATCATAAATACAATATTAACTATGCAGTAAAACTTAAACTATAAGAAATTTATATAAATATTTGGAAACTTTAAAAATTTAGATAAATTTTGGAACCCCCTTGAAAATAGAGTACAAAATTTAATTGCAAAAATTAATATTACTCGTTTATTTAAATCCTAAATCTTTATCTCATTAAAGTTTTGAGGGCAGATGTGGAACTCGATATTATTAAAGAAATCTGTAGTATAACATCTACATATATATTTATGATTGTTTAGATTTAGGTATAAAATATAGATTGATCACGAACTTTAACATATTAGCATAAATTTTTATTTAATACATTATTCATATAAAGTTTTAATTTTTTCCAAGCATCATAAAAGAAATAAGGAAATAAGCATAAGCAATTACAATTTTATATTATTTATTATTTTACCATTCTCATATACTTTATATTTAACAAATATTGAACGTAATAATATATATTATCACTATGTAGTGTTATCCGCTTGTATCTCACGACAAAACATTAATCACGTAAATTATATATTATTAATTTACCTTATATTAGGTTCACTGCTCCTGCACGAGGATTGTAGAAAGTACCAAGGGAGTAGTCCGTAGCCCTTAACCCTTATAATGAATTTGTCGCAACTATTCCAGCGCCAATCTATGCACATTTCGGTTTTCATTATGAAAATTATTCTGTTCAATGGCGAATGGTATATTTTTGGGTTGTTTTATAAACTTTTTAAATATTATGTTTATATAATTAAATCCAGTAAAATTTTTTTTTATGTATATATGCAAGTGCAAACATCTGGCGCGCCTGCCATGGGATTTCTATACCAACTAGGATCCAATTCGATTCCATGCTTGCGATAGAAAGTATCGTTGATATAACCAATCCTGTAAAACATATAATAATAATATATATTATAATATTTTATGATAATTTTAAAATATTTTTTGTAAAAAAAACTGATTGATTATATCAATCCATATTATATTTCAAAATTGATTGAATATTTGTTACATTTATTATTATAAACTGTGTATTACCTAAACTTTACTATTAAGTTAAAGATAATTTAAATAGAACAAGTGGCATTTTGTCTTAAGGCAAGTTGGAAAAACTTAAATAAATATTAAATAATCAACTTTATCAATAAAAAACGAGATTTAGCTATTTATATAAGATTTTCTACAGTTTAATTCCAAAACGAATTTTCACTTTAACTTAATCAAGGTGGTTTTCAATTGATATGTTTTAAAAAAACTTGTGCGCTTTTGTATTGCCTAAAACCGCGGCCCGTTATTCCAAACTTCAATGAATTTTTATAATTCATGACTCTTTGTAGGCCTATAATATTTTTGGACGTCGGTTTATTTCAACAATGAGCTTTGCTGCCATGATGATGTTTCATTAAAAAAGCAAAAAATCCTTTAATAATTACGAAGAAACAGTCCGGCTGATGTATGCCAAAAACTGATCAGTATGAATTCTGATTTCGCAATCCATTTTTATTGATAGTAAGACGTGCTGATTAGTTTTTGGCAAATGTAGGTCGGAGATATGAAGCAAAAAATGCAAAAAATTCAGTTATAAAGAAAACGGATTAACCAATTTGAATGATTCAAAAATATTCTATTCTTGTTGATAGAAAGATGTGCTAGTTAGTTTTTGGCAGAGATCGGTCCAGGCGTTTCGGAGATACAAAGCAAAGAGTGCAATAAATGGCAGTTTTTGAAAGAACGAATAATATGATTGGAATAATTTAAACTAGTGGTGCATAGCATAAAAAAAAAACTTTGAAAAAATTAGGTTTTTGAGAAATTTTGAAATTTTTGAAAAAATGCATTTTTTTTTTTGAAAATTTTGAACATTTTTTAAGCAATCGCGTTGCGTAGCTGATTTGGAGTCGAAATATCAAAGCGCGTAAGCGCCGCGTAGTCGCCTAACGTGTAAACATTGGCACGGAATCGATCACAAATATTGTACTTACCATTATAATCTTTATAAAATATCTGATAATACGATGTACATTGCCTAATGTTTATATTTGACCGCCATGTGGCTTTGTTGTTAACTTTTTTTATTGAATCTCCGGAGACGCTGGACCTGCCTTTACAAAAATTTTATCACTTGTTCATTTCGTCAAGCAATTAAAATGTTTTTTGAATTATTTAAATCGGACGCTCCGTTATCTCAAAAACTGAAAAACCATTTTTAGCACTAGATCTTCCTTTGCCAAAAACTAATCAGAACGTCTCCTTATCAGTAGGAACCGAATGTTTTTTGAATTATTCAAATCGGTTGATCCGTGCGCCCGAAAACGTGAACGAAAAAATGCGGACATACAAAACACACACAAACACGTCATTTTTTTCTGAGGTATGCCAAAATGTTCAGAAACCTTCAAAACTTGAAGATATGCAAAAATTTACATTTTCGATTTTCGGCCCATTATTATATAACTACCCTACGGAAACTTAAAAAAAACACTTTAAGTCTGAAGAAATGGTTAGTTTTTGGGGAAGACAATTTTATTTTAATTTCAAGATTCCAAATCAAAACAAAGAATCATTTTATTTAAAATATGGAAGATGATTCGAATATTATTTTGATTCGGTTTCAAAATATTTAATACTCCTGGTCTATTTCATTACGGTACGGGAAGTTCCAGCACGTGCCTCAAGGCACGATGCAATGCACCACTGTTTTTTTTTAATTTCAATAAAAATGGCAATTAAGATTCAATAAATAAGTCTTATAAGCTCTCATTACACGAACGAGTGGAAAAGAAAAAAGTTAGAATAGACAAAAAAATATAATTATCTAAATAGTGATAAAAAATGGGCACGCGATTTTACGCCATATATTAGTAATATATATATTAGTTATAATATTAATACATTATAAATATATTTAGTGTACTTACTTATTGTATTTCTTGTCTTTACTTGGATGCGGCTTATACCATCCGTATGTGTAACTAGTCACAATGGGAAAGTAAAATTTCTGATTTGGCGACAGCTTCAATCGTTCGCGAATATACTTTTTCCGTCCACCTTCCTCTGAATTTTAATTAAAAATTGAAAAAATTCAGCTGAAAAGAGCAATAGCAAATTGATTTAATATATTCATTGTAAATTTACCATATAAAAGTGCTAAAGTGTCCGGTGAAATATCCCTCATGGTTTGATCAAAACATTTGGGATCTTTTAATAATTCATCAGGATAAAAAGATGTATCGGCTGATACTTCGTGCGTCTTGGATTCTGTTTTTCGTTTTTTCTGAGCAAGATCTAATTCTTTTAGAGTTTTTGCTTCTTCTTTAGCAGTAGCTCTAGCCTAACATGATTGTTTTTTGATAAAGTAAATATGGAAATGTTGATTAAATATTATTCTATTATTATCACTTCAAATTATATTAGATAATTATTCATTTCCTACTTCATCTAATTCCTTCTTCTTTTCTGATGATTTTCCAATTTTGGAAACAGCATGTGATTCAATAAGTTGTTGGTTATTTAGGAAAAATTGTAATCTTGCATAATCTTCTTTTTCTCTTACTTTTTTATAGAACAATACCTGTGTGGTGTCCATAGTGAAACTAAAATTTTGAATAGCAAAATATTACTTATTAATTTTGATGATCAAATAATGGCAATGTAATTCTTTTGTTTTGAGTTGAAGTCAAATTTATTTAAATATTAAATTATTCGTAAGTAAGTAAAAATATTTTGATCTTTCTTTGACTATTGTTATACTTTACAAATAATATTTAATGCCAAAACCAACTGTTCTACAATTTTCTGAGGATATAATTGTTCTATGATTCTGACACTCTTTCGACTTATAATATTTTAGTCAATTTTAATAATATTTTTATCATATTAGTAAGATTCTCATTCAAAACCTTTAGTGGTTAAAGTAATACCTAAAACATATAAATTTAAATTATTAATAATGATGTCATAATAATAAGTTGTTTCAATAACAAAATCAATTATTAATAATTATATTATAATGGAACATTTACATACAAATGTATTAATAACAAATTTTCAATATATATTACATACAATAATTATAACAATACTAAATTAATTGTAAAATTAATAGTGCACCATATCAAATAACTTTATAGAACTTTAAAACTGATAAAAATTCTCCTCTTATACGTCTCTCGAGAACAATTTGAGTATCATAACCCACAAGTGACATATTTTTAATAATTTCTGAAGGTTTATTTTCAGCTATGACAACCAAATAGCAAACTCCTTTGCTGGTTAACATAGAAGGTAAGTCGTGTAGCATTTTATCAATTATAATCCTGCCTTTTTCGCCACCTGCCCATGATCTAGAGATATTGCTTTCTGAGATCTCATCATCTTCTGTGACAACATATGGTGGATTAAATATAATAACATCGAAGATATTTTTTCTAAAACTGCTCAATAAATCCATATTAAAACATTCAATATTTGTTCCATTGATCTCTGCAGTTTTCTTTGAAATATTGCAGGCCTTAGGGTTGATGTCAGTGCAGAAAAATGAAGATGCTTTTATAGTGTTAGCAAGACTAGTTATGTTTATTCCACTACCACTTCCAATCTCACAACATAATGAAGGATTTAACAAATGTAAAAATTCTAAATCCTTTTCAAGAGCATCTAATAATATAAAACTGTCTTCAGCGGGTTCATAAATGTCTAGAAAATCTTCTGAAGATATATGTGAGATTATTGGTGTTTCCATATTTAAAAAAATAATTAGTAACAATTGTTTTGTTATGCTAAATTAAATTGGCTTGAGTCCCACTTGTCGAAGGTGTATTTATGCTTGTATTCAAAAGACTTTCTCTTCTTACAGTTTCCTTTTCTATAGATGCATGAATTTTGTTTAAGCGCTCCTGTATATATTTATAGCATTAATATCTTGGGAATGTGCAGCAAAATGATATAGTTTAATATCATTAATAAAATATCATACCTGGGTAGCTTGTAAAACATTGGTTACAACTGTAATTTTATTCTTTGTATTCATAAGTTTTTTTAAATAATCATCCAATTCTAAGGGTGGTTTTCTATTGGCTAGTATTTTAGTTACTTCATTAGATACTTCTTCAATCTGGGTTTTCAATGCTACTTGTGATGCTCTGGATAAATAAAGTAAGGTCATAAATAAAAAAATTAAAAATATATACAGTAGAGCCTCGATTAACCGAACTAATTGTTAATAGACATTCGGATAATCGAAAGTCCAGATAATTGAATGCATGAAGAATAAAGTTAAAAATACATACATAGATGTCAAGGAAAATAATGTTTAGTTCAAAATTGCTACTTTCTTTTGTATGTACATGTATATTTTTTTTTATTACATTACAAACATATACTAAACTGCAGCATTAAACATGTAAAAACTCGAATTGTAGGTATACTAGGATAGTCGCGAATCAGTATAATCGAGGTTCTACTGTATGTACAATAAAGAATTATAAAACCCAAAATTGATACTGATAAACAATTACTAAAAGTAAAATAAACTAACTTTGTTGCTTGAACTCGTTCTTCTAACTGATCTATAGCTGGTTTAAAAATTCCCATCAAACCTTCAGAAAGTGTATCTCGAGTTGGATAATCACAAAAATTCTCCGTGTTTTCATCTATGGATGAATTTGTAGTTTCAGAATCGGGTTGATCCATTTTTAAAAAATGATCGAGACTTACGGATGCTTAAACTTCTTTTGCCATCTTTGAATATTGTTTATTAATATTTTATTTTGAACTACAATTGTGCATTAATTATCTTATTCATTTAATTAGGTACAAAAAACTACTACTAAGGTTAATAATTCGTGTTTCGTGCACAAAACACAAAGTTGAGTTTGACGTTTGTCTGCGGATGTGTAGAAAATATAGAAGTACCAACAGTAAAAATCAAAATTTAAAGATTGCTATGGGGTGTGTAGGGCGTGTGCCCATGTGCCTTTATTAAACGGTAACTATAGTGGTTTATGGCATCGCACATTAAGGCAAATTGCTGGAACTTCCCGTACCATAATGAAATGTTCGAGGAATTTAAATGCTTTTAAAAAGAAGAGCATTTCTAATATTTATAGACTGAATCACAAAGTAAAAATTATTTAAAGAATACAAATGAGCTTCAAAACTATGATTACTTTAGCCAGAATTAAAATTAAAGTCTAAACTATTTTCGATATACAATTTTTTTTTTAAAAGCAATTGTTTTATCAACACAAGCAGAAAGCTTTTTAAATCATCCAAATCGAACACCTAGTTCTCTCAAAAACTGCCATTTTTTGTACATTTAGCTCTGTATCTTCGAAATGACTGGACCTGCCTTTGCCAAAAACTAATCACCACTTCTCCCAATTATTATACAAATTGAATGTTTTTTGGATCATTCAAATCGGATAACTCTTTGCTCCTTATCTCCGAAACGGCTGGACCTGCCTTTGCCCAAAACTAATCAGCGCATCTCCCTATCAATAGGGATGGAATGTTTTTTGAACCATTCAAATCGGTTGATCCGTGCGCCCGAAAACGTGGAAGAAAAATTGTATCCATGCATACATACACACACACCTCTATTTTTTCTGGGGTATGCTAAAATGTTCAGAAACCTTCAAAACGTGAAGAAATGTAAAAATTTTCAATTTCGTTTTTTTGGAATTGAATGAATAAACGAAAAGTTGTTGATATATAATTTATATATTTTTTTTTAAAATAGTGACACATAAACACATAAAAACATTTCTTATCAAACGTAAACTAAAAACATCTAACATAATTTATTTTGTAATAAATAACAAAATCTAGTATTAATTTGAATACATCATTGCAAGATTATGTTTAGTATCATAAATCGAGTATGTTTATAGAAATTATAGCATCCCAATTCATCAAATAATATGTATTTTTTCAAAAGAAAAAAAGTGAAAACACTAATTCTGCATTGCACTTGCACAATTATATAATATATAATAAGAACAATTATTTATAAAATTAATTTTCAAAATTTTTGCACTAAATATGCATAACAACCAAAATAACAACCAAATTTTATAAAAAATAATGTGTAATATGAGTTTTAACCCATAAATAATTTTTTAAGCAAGATCTAAAATTAATTTGATGTGTTTCAACATAATCAACGGTAATTTATAAAACTATCATTCACTAGCAATATTTACATGAAAAATCTAGTAACAGCTTTAGTAATATCAGCTTTTTAAATTTACATAATATCAATTAATCTAATTATATATTAAATATTTAAAAAATTACAACATATTTCCTATATGGTACATATTAAGAGTATTATGCATCACACTTTATAAAAATTTCCCTACAATACTGGATATTTAATTAGCTGGAGTTAATCTTAGTGTAAATAAAGAATAAATATAACAATGCTGAATGTAAAATTAATTTTGAATGTATTTATTATTAATAATATTATTTTAGTCATATATTTATTATTAAAATAATTTGCCAATATGAATTAGAAGTAATAACGAATCAAATTAATTAATCGTCAAAAACCTCAAACTTACTATCAGAAGGCCATTTCAATCTGTCTTGGAATAATTCTTTCTTATTTCTACTGTTTTCAATGTTACGTTCATTTTGCGTTTTCTGAGAACCATTTTTGAAAAAATCATCGTCATCAAAAGGATCCACATCTCTGGCAAAAATATTAACAGATTCAGACTTTTTGAGATTCTCTTTAGTTTGAGTCCTACTGCGTTGGCCAAATGCCTTATTTTGATTTCTGTGATTAAAATCATTTTGAATCGGCTCCATATTTCCTACAGAATCCAGTTTTTCGTCAATTTCTTCAGAAATGCTTTCGAAATTGGCGTTTTCAGATAATCTATTGGAGGTTTTTGTCATTGTGGGCGGTATAAAATCATCTTCAAATGATTGCTTGCTATCAACTTTCATTTTCAATCCGTTATCGTTATCAAAATCATTATCGTCCTCAAAGTGATTTTCGAATTTGAAAGTGAGACCACCCTTTGCAAAGGTAGATGATTCATTTTTTTTGTTATCAGAATTCAGAGATCTGGGCGAATCTTTGTCTGAGTGATCACTATCTCTAAATCTAGAATTTTGCGGTAAATTATAAAATTGACTGAAATCTGCATCGAATTTTTCGTCTGCGGCCGCCATATCGAATTCTCGATTTTCTTCGAAATTAGATTGCGGAAATTTATGTTTTGGTCTAACACTACTGTCTTCAATGGATTTATAATCAACATAATGTTTGCTATTTGGATGGAAAGGTGGCTGAAATCTATTTACTGCTTTCTCAGACTTAGGAGGGCGCATATCGCTGAAATTAGATTCTCTACTGCGCGATCGAGATTTTGTGCGGTACCTAGAATAAACACGAGTTTCTAGTTAAATTGAAAGTTAAATGTTTTTATTACTATTAAAATAATTGACCAATTAATTCAATACAACAAATAGAATAAACTAATAACAGTCTTTCATATAAACAGGTGCCTACTTTGAAAATAACAAAAAAATCGAATAGAAAATTTGTTGCATATTATGATACCTTCTATCACGCTCGTTGTCACTTCCTCCAAGCTGTTGATGTCCCATATGTTTCCTATCGGGCCTCCTTTCACTTTCATTGGCACTTGCAGGTCTTTTCCATGACCGTGTACCTTGAGCACTCACATCACCTCTTGGTGGTCTCATTTCTGTAAATGAAGGATCACGGCTGCCTTCGACAGGTGATGTTGCACCTGATGTTCGATCCATGCCTCCACCAGCCACAGCATCACTGGACCAGGTACGCGGCTGCACGGTCCTTGCGTACCTGCCACCACGATCATCTAGATAATAAAATGTTTGTCAATTTTCATATATTTATACCAAAATCACTTCTGTGGGTACAGATAATCATTGTAGAAATATTTAAATTAAATAAAAGTAGTACCAGGATCAGAATCTTGTTCCCATTCGTCACTCGGTCCACCAGCTCCCCAATCGCTTCCCCATTCTCTGCTAGGTCTACCGCGTCTTCTATGCTCCACACCCCGACCACCGACAGTTGCATATCGACTGTAAATAATTTTTTATACTTAGCAAATTGTAATATTCTCATTATACATTTTGCTATTATTACAGTTTGACAAACTTAAAGATTACATCATTTATGCTATCATAATTACCCTCCATATTTTCTGTCTGTAGGAACCCAATGATCAGGAGCCTTCTGACTACCGTATTTGAAATCTTCACGATCATACATATCTTGTCTATCCCAATTTTCATAATCTCCTCTATCATCATAACTATCACAGCCTTCTCTACTATACCCGTAACGACGACTTCTCTCATGGTACATTCTATGACAGGAAATTTAATAATAAATATCAATAATTAATATTGTGATATAAATTTTCAGTTTGAGTTATGCCAAATCCATAATAAATTTTTTATTGAATATTCGCACCTACAGTTTTTTTTCATAGTCTAAGGAAATTTTGTTACGAATTATCAAGTAAAGATTGGTGTAAAAATTCAATGCGGTGGTAATACTAAGGCAATGCAGCCATATGTATTAAATTAACACACATATACAGTTTGAATGTTAGAGGGTATATTTTAATAAAAGTTTCCAAATTTTAATCAGATTTCATAAATTAAGAAAAATATAATTGAAAAAATTATGTCTCTATATATTGGAAATGTATATCTCACCAACTATATATTAACTTCCCGTAGAGTAAGTTATTGTAATCGTCCAAAAATCGAAATTGAAAATTTTTGCAATTCTCGACGTTTTGAAGGTTTCTGAACATGTTGGCATACTCCAGAAAAAATGGATGAGTGTGTGTGTGTGTATGTATGAATACAATTTTCCAGTCATGTTTTCGGGCGCACGGATCAACCGATTTGAATGGTTCAAAAAACATTCGATTCCTATTGATAGGTAGATGAGCTGATTAGTTTTTGGCAAAGGCAGGTCCAGCAGTTTCGGAGATAAAGAGCAAAGAGTGCAGAAAATAGAAATCGAGTTTTTGAGAGAACGGAACATCCGATTTGAATGATCTAAAAAACATTCAATTAGTAATGATCGGGAGAAGTGGTTATTAGTTTTTGGCAAAGGTAGTCCCAGCCATTTCGAAGATACAGAGCTAAATGTTAAAAAATGGCAGTTTTTGAGAGAACTAAGCGTCCGATTTAGATGATTCAAAAAACTTTCTGCTTGTTTTAAGAAAATAATTGATTTTGGAAAAAAAAATTGTTTCAAAATGATTTTTTTTTCAATTTTTTTTTTCAAAATTTTTTTTTGTATATCGAAAATAAATCAGATTTTATTTTTAATTCTGACTAAAGTTCTGATATACTTTAAACAAATAATTTCAACTTTGCAAATCCAGTTTATATAATTCTTATAAATATTAGACAATGTTACAATATTTATAATAATCTATTTGAAAACATTCAGTATTCCTCGAATATTTTGTTACGGTACGGGAAGTTCCAGCAATTTGCCTTAGGGCACGATGCCATACACCCCACTAGTTATTATTTATATGAAAGCATTTTTAGTAGCCACTAACTTGAAAAGTATTTGCTTTTTTGAAAAACATTATGAAACATTTTGTTCTTATAATTAGTCCTTCTATCGATATCCGCCGACGTTATTTTGAAAACAAATAAAATTACACCACCGAGAACGGGTGTCCACTCGTGGAGGCTGAATTATTTTCTCTTCTGAACTTGAGAGTAAGATGAACCTAATTTCAAAATTTCATACTAATTGGAGCACATTAAAAAAATTCAGGCCCAAAACGCTCCATTGTGTTGAGTAAATATTCCGTATCCAATGCCAAACATATATAAATTTTTGACACAATGAAACTTCTAAATAATTTTTTTAATACGTAGTTTTTTTTGTAGTGTGATTTAGTAAACTAAGGCAAAAGTCGACTGCATTAGTTCAAAAATAATAATCTATCAAATTGAATTATATATTAGGGTATATTCCACAACCAGTTCATCTGCCAAATATATAATGTATTTTATATTATTTTAATTTTTGGCACATCTTAGCTGCTTTTCGGCAATAATAATGAAGACTAAACATTTTTCTTATTCATAATCATGAATATATTATATTTTAATATTGTCTAAACCTATAAGTGAATTGAAATGTTTGGCAGATGACAGTCTTCATTTGTTTTCAATGCCAAACAATGCCTCAAATATTTTCAATGTCAAAGAATGATGAGCGGTTTTTGTAATTTGTTTCATTTAATTCCAAAAATTCCCTTAACAAACTTCAGAAAGATTTATCAAAGTCCGAATAATCTTTTAGAAGGAGTATCCTTTCATAAATCATTACAGAAGAATTTTATATAAAAGATATGTATATATATATATATATATATATATATATATTAATTTTTATAGAATGCAATATTTGACTTTTATAGAGAATGTCTATAGTTTACCTCTCATCAGATCTGTCGAAGTTCTTAAAGCCTCCACCAATGCCACCGGAAGTTTTTCTATCAAAACTTTTTCGTTCAAAACTATCACGTCCGTCGAAACTTTTTCTATCGTATCGAACATCTTCTAGACTTCTATCAGAATAATCATCTCTAGGTCTAGGAGGCCTATCGGAGTACCGGCCGGGCCCCGGTCGTGAGTCTAAATACTCTCGACTGCGCATCATGTCTTCAGGCCCATGTGGCGGCCTTCGTGGATACCAATTAGGATGATCACATTCTTCATCGTAACTGTTGAAGGTATACATTTAGTAATGCAACGATTTTGAACAAATTATTAATAGATTTAAATCTATTATATAAAATTCTATATGATAATAAAAATTGGTGTAAAATTTTGCAAAACAAAATAAACAGTAATTATTTTACTTTTTTATTTCAATTTTTGGTTAAAATTTAAAGTAAAAGTGGTTTAAAACACAATAAAATAAATACAGGATAGAGACTAATAAAGATCCATTGAAACAGCTCTCATATTATGTATTTTACACGTCATTAATAATTACAGTATTTGTAGATAGGGAGACGTTACTGGTTCTTGGCAAAGACAGGTCCAGCCGTTTTGGAGATACTGAGCCAAAAGTGCAGAAAATGAAAATTCGGTTTTTGCGAAAACGAGCGTCCAATTAGATTGATTAAAAAAACATTCGATTCCTACTGATGAGGAGAGTTGACTAGTTTTTGGTAAAGACGGGTCCATACATTTGGGAGGAACAAAGCAAAAAGTGCTGAAAATGATAGTTTCTAAGAGAACAGAGTATTCTATAAGGATTATTAAAAAAAACAGTCGACTCGTATTGGCGGTGCTGATTAGTTTTTTTTTTTTTTTTGCAAAGGCAGGTATGGAGCAAATATTGCAAAAATTAGCAGTTTTTGAGAGAACGGAGCAACCGAGAAGAATGATTTAAAAAACATTCGATTTGTATTGACGGGGATATGTGCTGATTGGTTTTTTAAATTGCCTGATCCAGCCGTTTGAAACGCTTGAAGTTTTAAACTGATCTAATAATAACAATAATTTAATTTAGATTTTCTAAATTCTAGTGCAGCGTCTTGGCGCTATCTTAAGCTAATCTGAGCTAATCTTTCGAACAATATTTAAATTTTTAGGATCATCAGTGTGGGTTGTTTACTAAAACCATGTTTTTTTTATTAAATTTTTAATTAGCAAACAACTGCTTAACCAACAACGATACAAAACAAGTCTTTTCTTAAAGAATTTTCAAGCGCCATGTTTTGAGAAAACATCCAAAAAAGATTTTTTATTCATATGGTCACAACTCATAATACCGATAATGAAATTATTTGTCAAAATAAGACTTTTCTATTTCTTATGAAAATGTTATAAAACTGCTTTAATTAAAAAATTCAACTCTTTATATGTTCAATGTTTAATATCTTCATAATTCATTTATAGTGTTTCAAGTTTCGAATAAGCAAAAGACTTCAAAATTTCATTTATGATTCAGAAAACTGTGAAAACTTACTCAAATTCATCTTCGTCCCAAGAATCTCTGCGTCTATTACGCGCTCTTCTTGATCGCATCTCATTGTGGGGAATTGGACCTCCCATACCACGACGATCCGAAGGGCATTCTTCATCCCAAGGTGATGCATCACGGGAAGATGAAGATGTTTGAGCTTTAACATAAAAATTTTGGATTTTAAATTATATTCTTTTATTAACTTTCCGTAGGGTAAGTTATAGTAATGGTCCTAAAATCGAAAATGAAAATTTTTGCATATCTTCACGTGACGGGTAAAAGTAGTGTTTAGTTTTTGGCAAAGGCAGGTCCAGCTGTTTTGGAGATAAATGTGCAAAAAACGACAGTTTTTGAGAGAACTAAGCATCCGAGTTGTATGATTCAAAAAACTTTCTGCTTTTTTTCCAAAAGAAGTATATCGAAAATAATTCAGATTTTGATTTTAATTCTGGCTAAATTTTATACACTACATTACAACACTATTATATTTGGTTTAATAACTCAACTTAATATTTGTATCTTTCACGAGCTTTAGAGCAACTTTGTCTGTGTTTGATATATTTTAAACTATAGACATATAGAAAAGTGAAACCATTTTTAATCAAAAGTCACCAAAATATATTCAGGCCAGTAATAAACTATATCAATTATTAATGTTGTAATCAAATTTTTTACTTACGCTTGCTCCATCCACTCTCCCTGTGATGTCTACGTTTTCTCTCATCCCTTGTTGAACCTCTATCATGCCAATCGGTTGGTGAACCATAAAACTCTTTGCCATCCGAAGACCACGGCGACATGCCTTCGTCTAACTTTTTATTAGAGGCTATGTTTTTACTAGGAGCAGAATCTAATAAATTATCAACTAATTTATCATTATTATCATACAAAGGCAAAGTTTTAATGCTTTCTATAATTTTCGTTTGCTGTGCAGCAGTAGACTTATTTAGTTCTATCGTTGGATCATCAATATTCGTCTGGTTAAAAATGGGTAAAGGACTGGTACTTTGATTTATTGTTTTAGGCGGTTCTGGTGCATTTTCAGCATTATTAGGTGTGTCAAATATCGCCCAACTTTCACTTGTGGATGTTATTTCTTGTTTCTTTAAATCTGGTGAACCTAAATTAAATTGAATCGATAAGTATATTGTTTTATATTACAGATTGTACGTTTTTTCTAAAACTTACCTGTCAAATTGTCAATTTCAGGTGATGATCCACTTATAACATCTGATAAAGATCCAGATGTTAAGCGTACATGATTAGGTACATTATCAGGTATTATATGAGAAACTGGTGTTTTAACAGGAGGTTTGCTCAAAACTGGCGATTTATTTTGTTCATTAGGTGATTTACTGATTTCTAATATAGGCGACTTGTTGCGACTTATTGGTTGACTGATTGACTTATAAAAATCAGTTTCCGGTTTGTCATTGGTGACTGAGAGTGAAGTCTTGAATTTGTTCGATATTATACATTCATTAGTTTTATAATCATCTGCCATTTGCATTAGAACACTTTTTAAATCAGTATCGAAATTATTTTCATTCTTATTTTCTGAGGTGTTGTTTTTAAAATCGTCGTTAAAAATATTATTTTCATTAGAAGAATTTTCTTCAGCCACAGCATCATCGGGTACAAATATTGACCTCAGTGCGGCATATCTGTCTCCGGAATTATCTTCAGTATTAACTTTATTCACAGATTGTTCTACAACATCATCTTTATTTGTGACTTCTGAATCTATTGCCGATTCAATATCCTCATCAAACACTTGAGAATTGTCGAAGCTTTCCATTGTTTTGTTCATATATTCTTCTTCTTGTATTTCTCTAAAAACTGCATATCGATCATATGCTCCAGACTTTTCATCAAATTGGTCAAAATTGGCTTCAAAAGGTTTTACATTAAAATCATCAAAATTGTTTTGGTTATCAAAATTTTCTTCATTTGCTACCTCCTTATTTTGCAATTTTTTCGCTTCTTCCAGATACTGCTTTAAATAATTGGTTAATTGAATTATTGTCATATTTGTTATTTTAACAGCAGGCGTATTTAATTTTTTAGCTAATTCTTCCACACCACAAGATAACAAATCACTTAAACTCATATCTAATGCTTTTGTATCTATTTTCATTTCTGATGAATCTTTTTTAATATTATCTTTTCTCTGTGGAGGTGGCAATAATAATGGCTTATCAATCTTTGTACTCAAACTCTGTGATTCCTTTTTAATCAAAGATATCGGTGTCATATAATCATCCTCAATCAAATCTTTCTTTGGACGTTGAGGTATGAAATTATCCTCAAATCTAGGTTTTCGCGCAGGTACTGGAAGAGGTGGACTTTTATCGTCATCCTCAAATTTAGTATAAGAATCCATAGGTTTTGTGTTATAATTATCAATATAATCATAATGTGAATCATTATCATTATGAGGAGGTCTTGGGGGAGGTTTAATGATGATGTCATTGACTTGCTTTTTAGGTGGTAACGGCGGTGGCATCGAAGAACTGATTTCTGGCCGCGGAGGAGGTTCTGGAGGATTTTCTAAACTTTCTGAAAAACTACCTTCTTTGCTGAATTTCTGGTTAATATAATATGCTGTTTAGTTTTTCTTTTTGAATTATCCAGAGTATTCTGTTTCGTGACCGTTGGCCGATTTCTCACTGTGTTAGGCGTTGAAGACTGTCTTTCCATCTTCGGTGATTTAGATGAAATGTAGGAAGAACCGCGCTCCGGAGGTAACGATACTTGCAAGGGACCGTTAAAGAAATTATCTCCATCATTAGAATCTTCAGACATACTAATTTTGGTATCAGTTAATAATGTTGACGTCCGTGGTTCACTTGTTGCTTTAATTGGATTAATTTGCTGGTTATTAAATATTTTAAATGGAACAAAATCAGTGTCGAACGGATCTATTTGGCGTTTAAACGACGAATAAATGAATGGATCTGCTTGATCAAATGGGTCATTAAAGGGGTCTATATCTTGTAGCGAATTATCACTTATAGAAACTAATTTACTAGATTCATCAGAAAATTTATCACCAACTCCAGATTTACTGTCCAACGGTTGCAAAATCGATCCAACATTATCGCCAACTAAGTCTCGTAATACTTTTTTAGGAGGATTTTTCAATTCTTGAAAGAAATGTTTTTTATCAACATAAGGTTTGCTTCGACCTGTCCCAAGCGGATCCAATTCTGTGAAAATGTCATCGAATGGAAGAACCTAAAAATGTACATAAATTTAAGAAAAATTAATTATTTTTAAATTAAATTGTGATCACATAAATAACAAAATATATAAAAAATATAAGTACCTTAGATGAATTAACACTATCAAGAGGGTTTGGTTCATCAAAACTATCTTCTTCGCCATGTAGCCAATCTGGGCTTGAACCTACATTATAATTTTGATAATAAATTAATTATTACAAAAAAATATATTAATATGCTGATTCCAGATCTACTAATACAAATACAAAAGAATACTATGTATTTCTATTTGCTTACTTTTTCGAATTGATGTATCTTGCATAGTCAAGCTAGTGCTGGCAGTCTTAGATGCTAAATTTATGGCTGGAGATTTACTTTGGTGCAATGGAGTGGGGCTAAACGGTGTCTTCAGTACTGGAGGCGGACTGAATGGTGGGCTGAATGGCGGACTAAAAGGCGGTTCCACACAACGAGTAGGACGATCTCGAGAAGAAGGCGGTGGAGGCAAGCAAGGCGGCTGATAATAAATATTTTTTGTTAATTGTAATTGAATTAAACAATTAATAAACGGCAAATAGGTTGATGTTTGTTAATTATTAAGAAACTACTCGGGTTTGCTTATAATTTATTCAATTTTGGTGCCAAGTGATACAGAATCACTGGAAACGAGACTTAATATACAATGTTTGATATTTATGTATGTTCAATCATTGAGAAATATCGAATTATAGCCTATGAGCTATGTACACTATAGTGCATCTACTCATTTTTATACTGATGGTAAGGGTTAATCAAATTATTAAAATAAATAAATTTTAATTTACCGGTGCAAAAGAAGCAAATGAATCGCCAAAAGGATCAGAATTGTTACTTCCTGGTACTATACTTTGCGGTCCATCGGATGGTGTCAGCCTTTCCATTTGATTCAGACCTCTTTGTAGAGAATTTAATTCCTGCTCCAAATCAACTAAGTCTGCTATGGATTCAGGCGATACCTAACGGCAAAATTCGACGTGTAATTTAATAGAGAATAATATTTAATTAATATTGTATTGAGTTATCAATTTAGCAAATAATGGTGAAATTTTAAACCTTGAAAACCAGAGCAAAATTAGTAATAAATCGTGAAAATCGGAATTAAGTTATAAGCCATACTAAATTATTAGTAATAAGGTCGGTGCATAATCTGTTACAATACTGAATTGTCCCAGATTAAAATATATATATTGCTGCAGCAATGTTAAAACATGTTTTAATGACTACATAATGATATGATAAAATACCATGCAGTGATCAATAATCTAATAACTATCATCACGAAATAATCATTTCAATGCTAACTACGTGTAAAAAAACACAGTGATATGAATAAAACTAATTTATTGTGAAAAAGATTTAGTGCATTTCATACGAAAAACCTAACAGAAAAACCACACTTAGGGAAATTGTTTTCAGCTCTATCAATTAAATTCCTATCAAAAAATTCACATGCATCAAGATCACTTTGAACTAATAATAAAGCTATTGTTTTGTATTTAATGTATGCAATAAATAAGACTAATTTTAAGCAAATTTATTTTCATAAATTTATTTTGGTTTTAGATCCCCAGTGTGATTTCTTTTTAAATTAGCAAAACTATGTGCATAATTTAACAAAGGTACGTACTTTACTTGTTGAAGGTTCAATAACTAACGGTTTTACTTCCCCGATAGCAGAAATTTTAGATACAGGGCCTAATGTATCACCATTCTGTATTGGATACAGAAAATTGAAGTATTTAAACAGTTATAGAAAGTTTAATGAATTTGTAAAACATTAGAACTAGTATAAAGTGAATATGTTCAATCAAGGTTTAATATTTTAATTCTATGTGGAACATTAAAATTTAATATATTTTAATTCATTGAAGTCTTCTTTTGGAAACATAAAACTAAAAATTAATTTCTAAATAACTAATAGATCAACTTACCGTACTAAGTTCGGTCAATCTAGATTTTCCTTGGATCTGCAGACGTGCTAACTCAATTTCTTTTTTCTTTAATTCAAAAACAACTTGAAAAAGATCTCTCATTGCAATAACAACCTAGAAAAATATTCATATTTAATTTAAATGTAATTATCATGATAAATAAATATTAACGATATTAGATGAAAAAATATTACTCATAAAACAACCCTGATATTTTAATTAACATCAATTAAAACTTAGTGTTTAAATTATTAAGTAGTTATTTTAATGATCTATTACTTACTTGACTAGCAGATTTTTCAGTCTTGATCCCAAAGAATCTATGGCCACTATCAGGAGAACCAAAAATGTACCCAAAAGCTCGGAATCGGTCATATCTGAGCGATGAACGAGATTTTGTGGACCGGATGATGGTACAGAGAATCCTGGGGTCAAAAATTTATTATAACTATAAAATTATATTAATATTGTATATATAAGCATTAAATTTAAACCTCGCCTGCTACCAGATTAAATAGATGAATAAATGGAAAGAAGTAATTAGTGGCGGAGTTAAATTTTCTTTAATAAAATTTGATCAATACAGCTGGGCCAAATAGTAAGATAAAATTGTCAAAATTTAAGTTTGGCAAAATTTGAACGATTAATGTCAAACACCTTGTTCGATTTTACTTGCTCTTAAAGCTCAATGTCTTCAAAAATAATACAAATTAAATTAACCACTTATACATTAGGATGATAGATATATTATATAAATTCTAAACTTCTTCAAAATAAAAATTTTCGTTATGACTGAATTATTCAAATATCCTACCCCAGTTTTTTCATCCCTAAGTCGGAGGCCGTCGATTGCAACATGAACAGTAATTCTTTGCTTATGCTCTCCTGCAGCTCTGATTGCCACTTTGAGATCCTGCAAAGCTTCCTGGCACATCCTATCCCCTCGGGCTTCTCCGACCTCCAAAATTCCAATGAGTTTTGCTCGAAAAGAGACCCCATCGCTCAGGAAACGTGACGGGTCATTTTTGTCTGCACACATTTAGAATATTAATTCAAAAATATATAAATTTATTTCAATATTGATCTTAATAGTATTTCAAGCACAATGAAGAGATAGTTTTTAATATTCACAAAACTACAATATCATTATTGAAGCATATTATTAATATCATAGCTTTACGCATACGGATTAGAGACATGGACTCTAAGAAAGGCCAATAATACCAATCTGGAGATTTTTGAAATGTTATTCTGGAGACGAATGGAGAAGAAAAAGTGGGCAGATAAGGTAACAAATGAAGAAGTGCTGAGAGGAGAGGATAAAGAAAGAACTCTACTGAGTACGATCATTATAAGGAAAGGAAATTGGATCAGACCCATTCTGCAAAAAGGTGCCTTCATGCCATCGTCGAAGGTAAAATAGAAGGGCTGAAAGGATTAGGAAGTAGAATAATGCAGATGGTTGATGATTAATGCAAGAATAGAAAATGCAGGGAACTGAAAGTAGAAGCACAAGACCAGGAAGCATGGGTGCAGAAGTTTGGAAAGAAAAATGAATAAAAGTGCATAAAAAGTGATTAATGGTAACAGAATGGTAATGGAAAGGAAATCATTGTCCTGTCTTCGGGCAGACTACTATTTATTATTATTATTATTAATATATAAAATTAGAAAAAGTAGACAGATATGGTAACAAATGATGAAGTGTTGAGAGGAAAGGAAAAAGAAAGAACTCTACTGAGTACGATCATCATAAGGAAAGGAAATTGGATCGAACCCATTCTTCAAAAAATGACTTCTACATGAGGTCGTCCAAAGTAAAATAGAAGGATTGAAAGGACTGGAAAGTAGAAAAATGCAGATGGTTAGTAACTTACGCAAGAAGAGTGAAAGTCGAAGCACAGGACCAGAAAGTATGGATGCAGAAGTTTGGAAAGGAAAATGAATAAAAGTGTATAAAAAGTGATTAATGGTAACAAAATGGTACCTGGTAAGTGACTAATGGTAACAACCTTTATTAGTCCAGTCATTACAGTAAGTTCACCTCGTAATTTGAGATACTCAGCTGTAAGTCTGGTATGTTGACACCTTTCTTCTTGTATATTGACACCTAAAAGTTATCTCAAAACTTACATATGTTGCGTACACCCTACCATATGCAGGTTTTGAGACAACTTTTAGGTGTCAATATACAAATATTTACAGACTTACAGCTGAGTATCTCGAATTCCGAGATTCTTACCTAATTTAAGCTTAAATGGCTGGATTAGGCCTATTATTATTATTCTTAATACATAAAATTAAAGGCTTTTGAATAAAAAGCTCAAATTTTAAGTAACAGCTTTCATTACTTAAACTTATCAAATTGTCAGATTTCAATAACATAATTACAAAATTACATTAATTAATAGTTGAAGCACTAAACAAACAATCAAATTCAATTAACAATGATCAAAAAGCATGCCTTTGAATACAAAAATAATTAAAGAGCAATAAATAAAGGTTTACAAAACATATTATGTCTTTAATATATCACTATTTGCGTTAACTGTAGCAATTATAATAACAATATAAATTATTAGTAAATAAGATAGTAGCAAATATGACTCTAAGAATTATATAATACAGTGGTACCTCGACATACGAGTTTAAGTCGTTCCGTAACCACGCGCGTATGTCGAATCACTCATATCTCGAAGCATATAAATACATTGAAATGCAGTTAATTCGTTCCAGCACTGTGGTTTTTGCTAAATTTTTTGAATAATAAATTTATTTACTATATATTAATTTAATTATTGCTTTTTTCTGCCCATTTATGATATTGTGAAAATGAGTTAGACATGTTTTTTTGAACAACTCCCATACTCAAAATGTTAGAAATTTTTTAGAATGATTTTTATCCACAAGAGTCCAGAAAGCTGTTTATAAATTATTGTAAGGCCCTTTGCTGGAGATATAGTATTTATAAAATCATTTTATTTAAACACAGTACATAATATCTATGATGATACATCCCTGTCATTCTCATATTTTTCAATAATTTCACCCTTGAATTCAAAAAACATGGCCCTTTTCTTTAGATCGGTGGTTATAAAACTACATAATTTTTTGTAAATGTACAAAAACCAAAAACGCCAACTCAACTATACAATATCTATTAAATTTCAAACGTTAAAATATTCTTTGATATACTCGCATAGGTAAATCTTTTCTACACAATCACTATTAATATATAATTAAAAATTTTAAATATAGAATAATTTACTATCATAAACCAGCCAAACTATTTATGTACACTATGAAAATCATTGTCACATCCGACGAAATTATTCATATTTTCATTATGCCATTAACATTTTTATAAAAAAAATTATACTCGCTCAAAGCTCGTATCTCAAATTCTGCTCGTATGTCGAGGCAACGAAACGTTTTTTGGCGGCTCATATCTTAAAATACTCGTATATCGAGTCACTCGTAAGTCGAGATACCACTGTATATGTTTTTTTTTATTCATCCAAAGAATATTGAAACTAATGTATAATTTTCGATTATTTTTATTTTTCTACTTTAAGATGAGAATACAAAAGATAGAGGAAAAACATTTATTAATAATGAATAAAGTCATTTGAAAAGTTTGTAAGTTTGAGACACGTTAAACAATTTGATTGATAACAGTGTTATTATAATAAATTATTGAAAGTTTAGATAAAATTGAACATAAATAGAATAGTTTCAAATTTTAATTTTAAAATTAAAATAATATACTATCATAAAACGGTCAAACTATTTATATAGTATGAAAATCACTGTCACAACTGACGAAATTATTCATATTTTCATTATGCCATTAACATTTTTATAAAAAACTCTTACTCGCTCAAAGCTCGTATCTCAAATTCTGCTCGTATGTCGAGACAACAAAACGTTTTTTGGCGACTCTTATCTCAAAACACTCGTATATCGTGTCACTCGTAAGTCGAGGTACCACTGCATATGAAACTAATGTATAATTTTCGATTATTTTTTCTACTTTAAGATGCGAATACAAAATATTTGGCAAGATAGAGGAAAAACATTTAATAATGAATAAAGTCAATTGAAAAATTTGTAAGTTTAAGGCCCGTGCAACAATTTGATTGATAACCGTGTTATTAAAATAAATTATTGAAAGATAAAATTGAACATAAATAGAATAGTTTCTACATACCAAATGAAGTCGGATATGATAAGTTTGATAGTAGTAAATTCTTTGACAATTAGCGTCATCATTTAAGAATTTTCATATGATCATATTATTGGTATATGCACCTTTATTTAAAAAAAATATTTTACTATCTATGTAGTATGTAATTATAGATTTATTGATTGGCATTCAACGTTTCTACATTTTATATTGATTTTTGTTCTTTTGCTATTGCTATTTTAATAACAAGGTGAAGACAGAAATAATATTCGTTATTATTTCATCACCGCATGACCAAAAATGGTGTTCGGCGATCAATGGAATGTTTCAATATTTTAAATATAAATTAATGAAACTAGAAATATAGAATATTATTTAAATTAATTCATGCAAGACAATCAGTCAACATCAAACTTAAATTAGGATTTAAGGATTTTCAAGCGTAATAAATCAAAATAAAATCAAGTTCAAAAAAATATTCAATTAATAGGTGCATAAGTACAAGCAACAAATTGCACATGTCTAAACAAATTGTTCAACTAGTACTTACATTTACAAGGACTGGTCTTTTTTCTTAATGTTTGCATTTTAAATTTAAATTTTCCTAATTTATTTAAAACATAAATTTTAATTTATTATAATATACACTTTCGATATAAACTTAATAACAACGGAACTATCACAATGTAATTTGGCAAACTATAACGTGATGCAAAAACTAATTATTAAACAACTTAGCCGTTGTTTGAAAAGAAAACACATTTTTGAGACAACATTATAAATTATTCACATTATCGCGACGTATTAAATATTTAAATAAAACATTGTAAAAATAATAACAGTCGGAAAGGAACCAAAAAACATTGCTAGGTGTCAAACTTACACTTATTTTCCGACGAATATTTTAAACTTGGTATTTAACACGAATTTTAATATTTTAAACCTACATTATTTATATATAGTTTTTAATTATTTTTTTATTATTTTCTTGACAATACACGAATAGATTTTTGATACCACTAACTTATGAGGGCAGTATTAAAATAGCAACACGGGGTGAGAATATTATTGATTATTTAGACGCGCGCCTTTTGAAAGGAGTTCAACTCAAAACATCCTATTTTGAAATAGGGCAAGTCTACCCTTGTGCTGGCAACACTAATAGTATATTAAATAATTTCCTAAATAGACATTGGGAAGAGCGGGGTTTAAAAGTCCACTGATAAAAATTTAATAATACTATTTTAAAGTAGAAGGCAAAAGATGTGTAAACTTAATTCCTAAGGCATCGCTAACTGGAGATAAACAAAAATTTATCTAATTCATACCAAAAGTATTTTTTCCTTAGTAGTCCTATTTTGAAATAGGGCAAGTTTATCCTCGGCAACACTAATTGTAATATTTTTTTTAAATAATTTCCTAATTATTAGACACTGGGCAGAGCGGGGCTTAAAGGTCCACCATCATTATCTCAAAAACAAATTTAAAAATACTATTTTAAAGTAGAAAGCAAAAGATGTGTAATCTCAATTCCTACGATATCGCTATCTGGAGATAGCTATCAATATTCATACCCAAAAAGTATTTTTTTCCTTACACTAATTGTGACCATTTTTTAAAATAATTTTCTAAATATTAGACATTGGGCAGAGCGGGGCTTAAAGGTCCGCGGGTAAAACGGTCCACCATCATTATCTCAAAAACAAATTTAATAATACTATTTTAAAGTAGAAGGCAAAAGATATGTAATCTCAATTCCTACGATATCGCTATCTGGAGATTAACGGAAAAATATCAATATTCATACCCAAAAAGTATTTTTTTCCTTACACTAATTGTGACCATTTTTAAAAATAATTTTCTGAATATTAGACATTGGGTAGAGCGGGGCTTAAAGGTCCGCCATCATTATCTCAAAAATAATTTATTAATGCTATTTTAAAGTACAAGGTAAAAGATGTGTAATGGAACGGAAATCAACGGAAATTTATCTAATTCATACCAAAAGTATTTTTTTCCTCAGTAGTTTTTTTAGTTTTGAACTCTTGTATTTAGTTTATTTTATGTTATTCAAGTGAAATTCAACTGTTTTTTTTTTCATATAACCTCTATAAAAGCCTTCATCTGGGTGGAGTAAAGAGGACCAACTAAACCTTTACATGGGCAAAAGTATAAACAATAAGAAATAGTTAATAAAAATGTAAACTAGTGGGGTGCATGGCATCGAGCCTTAAGGCAAATTGCTGTAATTAAAAATATTGGCACGAAACCCAAAAAAAATTACACTTAATGTGTATACATTATTAAAATCTCTATAAAATATCTGATAATTTGATTTTTGACCGCCAAATGACATTTTTTTAACTTATTTTTATTGAGAGTCCATAACCACTGGACCTGCCTTCCCAAAAATTTAATCAGTTCTTCATCTTGTCAATATAAGTAAAATGATCTTTGAATTATTAAAATCGGACGCTCCGTTCTCTTAAAAACTGAGTTACCGTTTTTGGCACTTTTTGCCCCGTATCTTCGAAACGGCTAGACCTGCTTATGCCAAACTTTATCAACAGCAATCGAATGTTTTTTGAATAATCGAAATCGGTTGAACTGTGTTCCCGAAATTGTCGACGAAAATTTGTATCCGCACACACACACACACACATATACATGCATTTTTTCTCTTGAGGTATGCTCAAAATGTTCAGAAACTTCTGAAACGTAAAGTTATATAAAAATATTTTCGATTTTTTGCGATTACTATACCTTACCCTACGAAAAGTTAATTAAGTTAAAAAAGCAATTCTACAAGAGATAAATCAAATTAATTTAAATTTAGCAACATCTGCTGATGAATATTTCTTTTGAAATGCTAGTTTAAGGTTATATACAATGAAATTTTTATAAAAAAAGGTTCCTATAAAATATTGTATTTAATATTGTTTAAATAATGTAGCTATTATTTTGTTCAATCCCCTTAAAATTAAAGAAAAGACGTTGAATCTGTTTGCCCCTTGATGGCTTTACCTTTTTACCCCGCCCATGGGACAAAAAGGGGCTGTTGACAAATTTTAGAAAAATAGTGAAAAAACATATTTCTATAATTCGGAGTTAACTGAAAATTTTACTGATCATAGTTTGATAGTTGTTTTGTGTTGTCATGTAGACAGTATAATTACTGAAAGTCAAATTGGACCTTTGTACCCCATCCTACTCTATATATTTATTTATTTGTCTCAGAAGACAAACATTAATTAAAGTTATTCCATAAAAACGATGTATCAGAAAAATACTTTGTAATTACAAAATAAAAATATAGTCATTTTTGACTCATATCAGTTTTGTTAATTTAAACTATTTATTGCAGGCATTCTCCATTAAGAAATTGTTGTATTGCGAAATTGAATATTTGCAGCAGATCCATATTATGAATGCAAAAAGTTTCTACATAATATTTGAACCGTAATAATAATATAAATTTAAAAATTCCATGAAAACTTGAAAATGAAGCAATTAAGTATATAGTTATAGTTTTTGCAACGCTAATTGTAAGTCATGATTACAATAATAATTAATATATATATAATCATAATTATTATATAGATATTGCATTAGATTAATATTAAATACGTGATACGTCTAATTGTAGTTAATAATGTTCATAGGCAAATAATAGTAACAATTGAATTTTTAAAATGTTGATAACTTTGTAATTTATGTTTTATAATTCTTGCATGAACATTTTATTATTTACAAACGTCAAGTACTTGGATAAATGTGCTAATAAAAACAGTATAGTAATTAAAATTTTATTAAATACTAGTTTTAAACAGAAGCTTAGTTCGTTAATTCTTTAATTATGAATTCTTTATGAATAAATCATCCATTGATTAAATTCAAGCAATAAATATGTGAACAAAATAAATGTTGCGCAAATATGAAAACATTTATAGATTCCAAATTTATTTTTTTTTCCCAAATAAATACTAATTACATTACATTATCGATTTTATAATTTTAATAACACTGAAATCTAATAATTATTCCTCAGAGTATTATTTATAATGAAGCATGAATATTATATTAGAAGTATAATATAAATTTAAAAGTTATAAATTAATGCTTTCAATTGATATTATTTCGGAAAAAAATGTATTGTATAAAAATATTGCAAATATAAATCATAAATTTTTAATTTACTTATAAAAAATTCGATTGTTAAACAAATTTGAATTATAAGGTAATAATACAATTTTTGATATGATTGGCAGGTTATGTTATGACAGATGAAAGGAATTTAACAAAACAAAAATATACCATCGTTTTCTTTCATTTTTGTTTAATTTATATCTTCCATGAAGACACATAATCACATAACATACGTCTAACACAAATTATAAAACAATAAACTAATAAGATAACATTTTAAAATTGTAATATAAGTTACTCGAGTGAAATATAAATTTTTTTGACATATACCGACACTCACTGAAAACAGGGTTGAACTTCGTTCACATAGCTCGCAGTATAAAATGAAAAAATAAATAAAATTTGGAATATGAAGATATTGTACTAAACAATAAATATTTTAAATTTATTTAGAGAATTGAATTATAAAATGCATATTTTAATCAAATATGGAAAATAAATTGCTTGTGGAAGTTTTATTCTATGAGGCAGCACATCAACAAAGTTTGACATTTCAATCACAAAATGGCGACCAATTTAGTTGTCAAAATTAAAAAATCATAAAAATTGAAACTTTTGCTTTACACTAATGAAGAAATAGTAATTATTCGTATATAATTAAACACATTGTTTTATAAAGTTAAATATATTATTATGGCAAACGTACATCGAGAGGCGTTTCAAAAACAAATTCAACAGGATTGGGCGAATAGAGAATACATCGAAGTTATAACGGGCAGCATAAAGAAAATAACAGATTTTCTTAATTCATTTGGTAATAATCATTATTATTATAGCGTTGTTTAAAATGAAATAGTTATGCTCTTAAATTTTATCATTACATTTGACTGTTTTGTCATAGTTAATTATATTATACACTTACAATACAATTCCAAACAATTTCATATTATTCTTTATAAGGAAGAAATTCATAAAAACCAAAAGTTTGTGTACACCGTCACTTTTTAATGTGCATTTATTTTTTTAGAATCACAGGAGTTGTTACTAAACATAAAATCTGATTTTATATTCTTTTATGAATCATAATTAAACCTATTAAAGATAAAGTGACATATTTAAATCTGATACTATGTATAGTTTTGTTTATTTATTCATATTTTCCAGACATGTCATGCCGATCACGTTTAGCAGTATTAAATGAAAAACTTACAACTTTAGAACGAAGGATAGACTATTTGGAGGCTTGTGTTACTAAAGGAGAAACTTTAACATGAATTATTATCAAATTTAGCTTATATATATATATATATATATATATTAAGATTTATATATATATATATATATATATATATATATATATATATATATATATATCTTATATTATATTAATAAATTTTGTATATTTCATATTACACTCAAATACAATGAATATTTGACTTATAATTTACACAATATATTTATTTGCATTTACAAAAATAAAACTATGTCATATAAATTCAGCATTATAAATAAAGATAAAATTGTTAAAATTTTATACAAATTATGGATGTCTAATATTTAATTATAAATATATAATATACTGCTCACTAATTGAAATTCAATGAATTTTCTTCATTTTCTCCTATGGGAACAGGACTACTGCCTGAAGAAACACTGTCAGGTATTGACAAATTATTTGTAGAATTATTTGTGCTAGTTTCACCTGAATCAAGCTGTTTTAAAAGCCTGAATAATGCAGCTGCCTCCCGGATTCTGCTAAAGTTAACACAAAAAGCTTCCACTTCAATGAAAAGTTCCTGAAATAATATTATATTTAGTCATTTCATGTTTATTGATATATTGTATAGGTTTTTTTCATTTTACCTTCACATTAATAATTTTGTTTCTTATTAGACTTTGTAAAAACACACAGACCAAACGCACTAATCTATTCTGCAGATATCGATCTGCTATTGATTCACAGGTATTGATGCAATTGCTTATATATAAATGAACAAATGCTGTTGGTAAATCAACAGAGGTGGTTAATCTGTAGATTGAAAAAGTTTGTTATTTCACATTATTGCTTAATTAGATTTGATAGCAATATTATTTTATTAGATAATGACAATGATATTTACCGATTAACTACTTCCATAGAATGCAATGACATGTCCATATTAACTAACACACTGAAATATTCAGTAATATGTGAAGAATGAATTAATCTTAAAAGCACTTCAATAGCAATCAAAGGGTTATTTTCTACTAAGAATGGAAGCTGTAAATAAATTTTGTTTTTCATTATAATGCAAAGTATGTAATATGTAAAATTTTACACAGTTGCATTACCTGTGCTGGTGATAACCCTATGCGATATACAATTCTATCATCCCTTTCAATTTCTGATAAAAGTAACTGTTGTTGTGTTATTGGTAAAGCAACTTTAAAAGCTTGCTCTAACAATCTCCGTGCTTCACAACCTAATACTGGACTTGAACATAATGTTGAATCATATACTGGTTGATGTATTTCTTGCAATTGAGGATCTAACCAAATAAGCTGAAAGATGATATGTGAAGCTAAAAATATACTTTTATATATTACATTAGTATCAAAATTAATTCCTAATTTTAAAATTTACCTCATCTTCAAAAACATGCAAAGGTGGAGCAACTGTATAAAATTCTGGGTTAATAATCCTCTGCATTGGTGGTGTAGAAGTAACAACTTTTTGTCCATATGATATATTGCTACTACTATCTAACATCGGAATTGGAATTTGATTAACTAAATTTTGTACTGTTTCTAATAATGCAGGTCGATCTTGAGGCAAACTTGAATTAAAACCATTTTAAATGAGCAACTAGGATAATAATGAATCATTATCACACCAAGTATTCTATTTGTTTACTCACGGACTCTCGCGTCCTGGGATAACAGCTGACAATGCTGATTTAGATAATGATGATAATTCAGACTGTCGTTGAACTAATAAGCATTGTGTTCCAGAAAAATCAATTTCTAGTGGTTTTGCATCACTTTGAATAACTTGCTTTGGAGTTCTGCGTAATATCTAAGAGAAGCAAAAATATAATACAAAAATGAATGTCATTTCAACATAATTTAGAGCCCTCTTACTTCTTTTCCACTTCCATTCATCAATGTTAACAGAAAATTTCGTTCTTGAACTGTGATATTAAATAGCAGTGAATCTGAAGGGCACTAAAAGAGATAATAAAACATTGCACTCATAATCATTATATAGATGATTAATCAGAAGATGAAAACTGTTAAATTAGATCTGAAATATCTATGACAATAAGATCCTGAACTTAATTTTGTTTGATATTTATAATTTATGTTTATACCAGGAGATCTATAAATAATGATTCATGGCATGCGTGCCCAGGCGGTAGATCTTTGTTCAAATCATACAAAATAGCTAAGGCGGCTAATCTTTGTGCTGGATGAACTAAATCACCTTGTATTATCAATAGACTCAGCAAAGTTCCAACTATAAATGAATAAAAGTCTCACATGAAGTATCACAATCTTTAAAAATATCAGTATTCATACAGAAATATTCAAGTACCATTAAAATGGTCAGCTTTTTGAAATCTTTTTTGCACTTGTGCACAAAGCACATCAAAATTTTGATTTTCTATATTAGCATCTGTCAAAATTCTAAAACATAATTTCAGGTTAATTTATATTTTATAGAAAAATATTTATATCTTTGACAGCTCACTCAATTAGTAACTTGATATCGCTAACAAACTTAGACATTTTTCAATATAATTTAATAATATTTTAGTACAAACAAATTTAAATAAAATATAGTTGATAAAAAAATAAACACTTCAGCCAACTTCTGGCTGCGAACCACAATGAAGTTATAATTTTACTGCTACCAGGTTATGCACTACATAAAAAAATATTTTCAAATTATTCAAATGATTCAGGCGTAAATAATACACATTACACATATTGATTTATGCAGTTTTTAATTGCCTACATAAAATTATCTGTAAATGTTATCTTATATTTAGAATCTAGCACATCTAAAATATTGTGTCATAGCATATAACATGATTTTTATTGATAAATGGAATCTTGTAAGAATTTATTTATAATTCTAAACTAAGCAAAGTGTCTTTGCAAGTAAATAATTTATGAATTATTACTAGGCATACTTGTTTATCTATGTTACTAGGCTTTCAACGAATAATATATTCGATGAAATACCCAATACTCAATATTCTGCATGCTCCAGAGACCGATACCGGCAGGTTTTTAGCTCCTACTAATGTACTATCTGGCTTAATATTTTCTTTTATAAATACTATATTATATATTATTATTAGAAAGGTTAACCTTGATAAAATAGATAAAAACTGACCAAGAATATAGTTTGTATTTTTTGCGATATTGAGCCTATGATAGTTCGTTATTTAGAAATGCTTAGATTGAATATAATGAAAGACTTTATTGACCATATTTACAACACAAGCTTGTAACCGTAGAATGATAACAAACATATATGCATTTAACAATAACGTATCCGTTGTATATTCAGAAAAAAAGTTTCTCGCATGTTCATTTTTAATCTCAAATGTCGATAAAGTTCAAATTATTATATATACAATAACAAAATCATTTCTCCATATCATATTATGTAAACTAAAGGTTTTCAAATGCAGATTCATTGCAAGCTCTTTATCGCATAAAATATAAAATTCAAACAATACTGGCGCTTAGCGGCGGCGGCGCCTTTTATTTTAACTATTCGGTATTAGGCCGAATATTAAAAAAAATGCCGAAAATGCCGAATACCGAATAGTAACCGAATATTCAGTGCAGCCGAATTATTATACATTCTGTATACTGTTCAAAAATATCTCATTTTTCTCACATCGACATATTTCAATTTGTAACAAAAGACTAAATTTACTACATGAAAAGACATGATAAAGAGATTCTAACAACAATTTATTTCAAATTATTGAACAAATTCTATCAACATCTTATTTTGAATGATCATACAATATTTAAGTACTACATTATCCGTACCATCCACGTCTATAACCGCCATAGTACCCTCTACCTCCATAGTATCCTCGGCCGCCCCAACCTCCGCCCCAATAACCTCTTCCACCGTAGTATCTTCTTCCTCCGTAGTAACCGCCTCGATAAAAACCTAAGACAAAGACATAGATACTTTTAAGTATAATTCAGTCGTTGAAAAAAGATCACTTCATTATATGTTTATAAAAAATTGAAAAATAATTTGAACTAAATTTCGAAATAAAACTCAAAACTATTTGTCAAAATAGTTGGTAGAATTTCTCTCACTAATAATCATAATCTTCTGATACCATGATTAGCCGATAAACTATCTATACAGCCATTGAAACATTAAAACCTTATTATGGGGCTGCTTGTGGAAAGTTTTAAACCAGGTGCTTGATGAAGCCATTCTACTAAAAAATTCAATTTATAAAATTTTTCTAATTTTTCTTTTTTCCTGCGCACCTCCAATTTTTCTTTAATTTCCGCAATATTTTTTAAAATGGTTTAAAATGTTGAATCTGAGATGTGGAAGCTCAGCAGCAAACTATGTTTTTTATCAAAATGTCTGATTTTCTTTTTGAAGCGATAATGCCTTTTAATCCTCGTGTTAAACGAAATGACAAACGGTATTAAGCTTAATTACCTTGAACGGGTTCTACTGTATATACTAATTAAAAAGTTAAAAAAATGATTATAATTAATACAGGCAATATGTTTGCTTTTTTAAAATATAGTAATTCATAAATTGAAAATACTTCTTACCATACTGGGCAGATTCTGCTGTATCAAGTTCACTCATATCTGGTTCTAAATCGATACTCAGAGTATTTGGTTCATCATTTTCTGTGATTGCTACTAATGGAGTATTTTCCACCGCTGCACACCAAGCAATGCCAATCACGAACCACAATAAGAAACTCTAGAAAAAATTAAATAAAAACATGTAAATATACAATATACATATAAAACAATTATAATTTTTGATCGTATATACTTCGATTTTTACTGAAAGTTTATTTTAAAACATTTTAATACCTCAGATTTCCCGAAGATAATTGACTTCCATATCCTCAAAACGCAAAAAATATAAAAAATCTAATAAATAAATCTTTGAAACAAAATTTTTCTTATTATTCAGTTCAGAATAATAAAATCATAAATGATATTACCTACCCATATATACTTCTCTATTATATGATTGAATGTATATACATAAATCATTATAAACATTTGTTGTTTTTTTGTATTAAATTCGCACATAATAAGGTGTATTTCTTTTGTGTTACTGTATTATTGCCACGAGCGTTAAATAAATAAATATATAATTAGAACCTACAATGGCACGTTAGTAAAAGCAATTATGATTAGCACTAATTGAGACATTGATAAAAATGTTGAAGTTATAAATCGTGTCTATTCAATTTATGCATATAAAATTAATACATTAATACCAATCTTAATTATTGACAAATTTAGCACACTAATTAATATTAATATTCTAGATTTATGTTACTCTAATTGCATAAAATTAGCAGCACTTTATTTCTGCGGTGGAGACGCCTTGTACATCTTGTATATGTAGCGAAACAATAAAAAAATAATTGAGAATAAAATAAAAAAAAATCTATGAATAAATTTAGTAATAAATACTTTACCTTAATATCCATAATAATTAATTTTAAAATATCATAACACTTTTAAATAATCGCACTATATAACTTAAGTGATGTGTAATAACAAACTGAGAATTCGGCTCTTAGCCTTGTCTATATATACAAAAATAATAAATATAATAAAACAATATTGAACTTGCAATTTGTTGTTGAACAACTTCATATTGCGATTCACAAATCGACATAAAACCATAACAAAAGGCAAATGGGATGCACAATGATATGTTTACGATGATTTAAATTGATTAATTATGATATTCTTAGAATTCGTAGACATTTTAACAAACGAGTGAGTCAGAGTATTTAAGATGATGGACTTGACGTACTTATTTAATTTGAGTGAACATCAAATATATACAGATATTTATAAACAGTAAATTATGATATTATTTTCAATTAATTAATTAATGTTGTAATTAAAATAATATAAATTTTTATATATCCAAGTAAAACTTTTTGTAGGTTTAAAATATTATTCAGTAATATTCATAATTAGTATGGTTTTAACGTAGGTATGAAAAAAGGGTATGTATAAATAATTTTTTTTCAGATAAAATTATTTAACAATTTTATAGAACTACTGAATGGCACGCATACATATATAAATACATATGTGAATGAGTATTAAATGAAATGAATACATATTAACACAACACAACTTCATATTAACAAGTTCTTTAACGATCATATAATTTACAAAATAAATAGAAATACTCATTGAAATATTTTTTCATTTTAAAAATAAAATTACATATCATATTAGAAATATGTTAACTGATATTGTTTTATAGAAAGTGTTTTGACCTTTTTGTTGGATACTTTTGGTATATAAAACATAATTGAAAATAATGTTTCATAGTTTTTTATTTATTGTGTTATTATTTTAAAGCTACTGAAATGTTGATGTATAAATAAAAAAATGCTGATATTTATATGATATTTGAATTCTAATAATTAATTGACTGCTTTATGTATAATTTGTGAGTCTATATTATTTTGTATAATACACCATTTTGACATTATCTGTGTTTTTGCCTTACGTATTCAAATTGTAATTATTTACTTTTATATAAAAATTTAAACGCCTGAGTAGAAGCTGATATCGCAGTAATAATATAAAATGTAATATAAAGAGTTATTTTGAATTAATTTTGAAACAAACTTTCAAAAATATAATGCCCGGAATTTCCAATTACACATAGTTAGTTATAGTTTATAAACTCTAATTAATTATTCTGTGAAATCATATCATAAGTCCTTCATTCGTACATTCATTCTAACTTAAGTAAATAAATAATATTGACTCAAATCATTTATTACGACATAAGATGAACTTCAAGATTTTGTCATTTGTAGTCGTCTTATAGGCTTCCTTCAAGAGTTGGGAATTTTATGTGGTATGAATATGACTGCTTTGTATTCAGTACTACAGTTCATTATTGACTGAATTACTGTTTACATAAATATTTTACATTTGTAAATTAAATAACTTGGTAATGGACGATGTGGGAATTTCATATTTTTCAGTGACGAAGGCAATGTTATATATATTAAGTATGGGAGAATATAATGACAAAACTGGTATCGTGCCTTAAGGCAAATTTCTGGAACTTCCCGTACTAAAAATTAAATTTTTTACAAAAAATTAATTTTTTTTTTTAACTTTGAAAAAATTTTTGGAAAAAAACTGTTTGAAAAAAATATTTTCTTTGTTTTGAAATATTTTGGAAATTTTGAACGTTTTTTTCAAAACAATGGCGCTGCTTCTGCTTCATAGAGTAGTTCACGAAAACGTCGACGAAAATTTGTATCCGCACATATACATACAAGCTCGCATATACACACACTGTATACAATTCAATAGATTGCATGCAATAACATAATTAAACTAGTGGGGTCTATGCCATCGTGCCTTAAGACAAATTGCTGGAACTTCCCGTACCATAACAAAATGTTCGAGGAATATTAAATGTTTTCAAAAAGATTATTATAAATATTGTAACATTGTCTAATATTTATAAGAATTATATAAACTGAATTACAAAGTTGAAATTAACTGTTTAAAGTATATTAGACTATAGTCAGAATTAAAAATAAAATCTGAATTATTTTCGATATA